GGGGGGTCCCACCGGCACCGACTTGTACACCTGGAACCCACACTCACCTGCGGGGACAGGACGGGGAGTTTGGGGGATTTCGGGGGATTTTGGGGCATTTTGGGGGGTTTGAGGGGATTTTGGGGGGTTTTGGGGGATTTTGGAGGGATTTTGGGGCATTTTGGGGGATTTTTGGGTGATTTCAGGGTGGTTTTGGGGGGGATTTTGGGGGCTTTTGGGGTGATTTTGGGACTATTTATGGTGATTTAGGGACAATTTGGGGTGATTTGGGGGGCATTTGGGGTGATTTTGGGGACATTTCGTGGGTGATTTTGGGACATTTTGGGACAATTTTGGGGGTGATTTTGGGACAGTTTTGGGGGATTTGGGGTGGTTTAGGGACATTTTGGGATGAATTTGGGACATTTGGGAAGATTTTGGGACATTTTGGGGTGATTTGGGGGGCATTTTGGAGTCATTTTGGGACATTTTGAGGCATTTTGGGGTGATTTTGGGACAATTTATAGTGGTTTAGGGGGCATTTGGGGACATTTTAGGGTAGTTTTGGGACATTTTGGGGTGATTTAGGGACAATTGGGGTGATTTTGGGATGATTTGGGGGCATTTTGGGGTGATTTTGGGATGATTTTGGGACATTTTGGGTGATTTTGGGGGAGTCACTGTGGGGTCACTCTGGGGTCACTTGGGTTATTTAGGGATAATTTGGGGTTGGTCACTCAGGGTCACTCAGGGGTCACTCAGGGGTCACTCAGGGTCACTCAGGGGTCATTCCTGGTTACCCAGAGCCAATGAAATGTGCTCTCCCATCCCCAGGAGCTGAGGGGTCACTCAGGGGTCACTCAGGGATAATTTGGGGTTGGTCACTCAGGGGTCACTCAGGGTCACTCAGGGGTCACTCAGGGGTCACTCAGGGATAATTTGGGGTTGGTCACTCAGGGGTCACTCAGGGTCACTCAGGGGTCACTCAGGGGTTACCCAGAGCCAATGAAATGTGCTCTCCCATCCCCAGGAGCTGCGCGAAGCAAACGGAGCCTCCGGAGCGGGGGAGGGAAAGCTCCTCAATCCTGGGGGGAGGGGCGAAGGCTCAGGGGGCGGGGCTTTGAGGAGCCACGCCCCCGTCGGGTGGTGATGACGTCATGAAGCCCCGCCCCCCCACCTGTGGGCGGCGTGGAGCACCGAGGACTCGTTGTGAGAGGCCACGACGAGGCCGAAACGGGACCCGGGGAGGGACAACTGGGGGAGGAACAAATCCAGGCACCGACGGTAACTGGGGAAAAGTGGGAGAAAAGTTGGGAAATGGAGAAATAAAAATGATGAATTAAAAATAAATAAAAATGGAAAAATAAAAAAAGAAATTAAAAAAATTAAATAAATTAAATATGTGTAAATAAATTAAATATGTGTAAATAAAT